CAGGAAAGATCTAGAGATTAATATGAGCAACTCCTTTTGCTGCCTCTGATCCTCTGTTTCAAAGATCATCAAAACCATACCATACGATCCAAAAAAAAACAGTATAAATGATAGCTTGTTAATGTGAAATTATGTAATAAATGTCATCGATCGTCATTTCTTAACCAAATTGACGACGTTTTTTTCGATCATACAGTAATTGTTGGTGATATTTAAGACATATCAAACAGAGAAATATATAAAAACTAAATATATTATTAAATATATGAATATAGGAACCAACATATTACGTTATTAAATTTTATATCAGGTATTATTTCCCTCTGTAAATCTCCAGATCAAAATAAAAATAATAAGAAGCTTAGGGGATATATGTTGCAACGTCGCCCAATCTAAATGTAGTATGGTTTAATAGGCAATAAAAAAATATAGCTACCGTAAAGCGTAGGCTGTCTTATTATTGAGATTTAAATTTGAATAAAGAAATTTCCTGCACATGTTTTACGATACTCTTCGTTATTTTTTATGTTACTTATTCTAAACCAAGAAAAATGCCTTGTATATTTGTACGGGTATGAATCCCATCAAAATATTTTTAATAAAGACTATTTCAAATTTTTGCTTTATTACATTTTTTTTAATATACGTTTACATAATATTACCCTTGTCTGTTTTATTTTTTCTTGAGTAAGTTTTATTATATTTTTTGTTGTTAGGTTAGGTAGGTATTTTTAAATTGCATATATTAACTAGAAAAAAAAATGCTTCCAATATTATTTGTAAAGTTAAGGATTGTTTTCGCATTTTAAGTTTTTATTTTTATTCCTTTATTTTCGTTCTTGTTTTGTTTTAGTTTGTTTACTTGTTTGTTATATACATATTTAAACTAGAGTTTTCTGTTGAACTGCCGGAGAAGTTTTAATATATATTAGAAAGTAATGTATGGCATACTTATAGCAAATATTACAAATATATTTCTGAAATGTACAGGGCGTTTAAAAAATATAATTAAAAGAATGTGTTTACTTAACTTTTTTTTTTAATACTATAATATATTAAATAATTATTAATGCTATAAAATAATATTAATAGAGTGTTTTAATATGACCATTTAACACTACATTAAAATTCATTATACTTGGTATTTTAAGCTCACTCACAATTTTAAAACACTACATTTTTGATGTTATTTTAACTAAAAATTCTGTATAAAAATATAGTGTTTGATATTCAGAATGAATTAAAATTAGATATATTGTTCTCAATTATTTGAACACTATTTTATTGATTTATTCGTTATTTATAACGGTTTTTGTATCTAAAGTGAGATGAAATTATCTCATCTAAAACTATTGTGTAGTTAAAATGAATTCAGATGTGTATTGAGAGAATGCATTTTGAGAAAAAAGAAAATTAGTCAATAAATGTCAATTTTCTGTACAGATTATCCTCATGGTCACCCTGTATATATTTATTTTTATTAGCGACATGTTTTCGGCCAGTTCCTTATTAAAGGTTACGTCATCCGCGTAAATTCGTACACTCTAAAAACAGCAGAGGTTAAAGAGGTATCCTGCCATACATCTAGGCATCAATTTAAATTATTCTAAGCCATTATTTTTACGACCTCGACCCATATACTTAATCCGAACATTTTATTAGAATAGTCGTATTAAACATGTTTTATATGAATTCATAACTTGAAGTATGTTTTTGTTAGAAAAAAAAATTGTCAGGCATATACTGAACTTTTAACAGTCTAACGCTGTACTTTCGGGTTGCTCTCAGGGGGTCGGGTAAAGCGTGTGTGTGGCCGAAGGAAACATATATTATATTTCAGAAATCTGCCTAAGACTTAGCCCGGTCCTGTGATGTTAAACCACACCTAAAATTCCAAACACACGTGCTTTAATTAAGGCTTGATTAAGGTTTGCAGAGCTTCAGCATTTCCCATAAAATAGCGAGATATTTGTTACAAATATATAAGTGACAGTGATATAAATTATATATTACAGTGATATAAATTATTTATCACTGTAATCACAAAACTTCAATCTATTTCCGTATTGTAACGGAATTTTAAAGTATGTCTTTATTTTCGAGAAAATTTAGTCCAAACATAAGGAATATTTTGTTGACGTTTGACCATCAAAATCTTAAAAATAATATTGTCTAAAAATGTGCGGATATAGTATAATCCTTTATTTTTAATTTTCTTCTTCATTTCTTTAAAAATACCTAGCCAATTTTACATGAAACGTTAAACGCCGAACGCTTATTTTGTTACTTTTTATTATGAACGGCCTTTTCATGATAATCAACCTTAATAGCCATTATTACTTGATGACATATTTGATTTTAGTTTAATCGATATGTATTGTATTACTTTCCTTGATTAAGAATGCGTACAAAAACAATATTAAGTTATGAAACGCTCGAGTATTTTAATTTATTGCTGGAGGAAAGGACAAGTTAATCACAATTTAATTATCATATAATGGTTTGTTGGGTGACTAAACAAGAAGAAATTCAATTAGGAAGTTGGAGCTCGGGCAAATCATGGACTCATAAAAATTCATAAATACTTTCTTCGAAAGGGTTTAGTAGAATTGAGAATATTTTAATTTTTCTCTAGTGACTTAATAATTATTAGTTTATTTGAAAAAAAAAGTTTAATTTTTTATTTAAATGTAAATGCCTATAAGATCATTACATAAAATTAACTAATACATTGAACATTATACTAAATAAGAAATAAAATATTTAAACTTCAATAATTGGTAATAAACATTATAAAAACTTAAAAGAAGTTAGCACAATAAGAAATATAATTGCAACATATTTAGAAGAGATTTTTCCTGTCTGTAGCAAAATCTCAGATGTAAAAGTCGGCTATTGTCACTCAAACGAGACCTAATCTTATTGAAAAGTAAACTAACCAAAGAAAAAAAACTCTTTCAAGCTTGATGCTAGTTGACGGAATTGTTAAAAGATGGTATTAAAACAAAAAATGCCATTCTTTCTGAAAAAGGTTATTTTTAATTATTTGTTAGTACCAATAATAGTAGTAGTATAATAAAGTAGTAGTTTTTTAAAATATGTAGTAGTTTTTAATTATTTGACGTACCAAAAGAACCGGGAATTAATTTCGAGTCCCGGTTCTTTGATGGCTCAAAGAACTACGAACTGGCTTCTTGGTTCTGAAATCTGGTGGCAAGGGTAAATGCTTTGTGAAAAGGGTACCACTGGATAAGTAATCTAAAGATCAAAGTGCTACAGTGGGTTTAAAAAGGCCGCAGGGAATTGACCAATACCGCTTTATAACACGTAATCTAATCCCTTTTTGAGGTAAACACTACTTTTTTTTAAGAATTTTATCCAATTTATTTTAAAGTTATAACAAACTAGTGTGTTATAACTTCAAAACCAGACCATTTTATAGAAATTATTAAGCTTTATTTATAAATTACTAATTCAATTATTCATTTAAATTAACATTAACATTAAATGAAAATGAAATTTCTTTTGTAGATTCAGAAATTGTAAAACCTTGTATGCCTCCAAATGCTGTCCCTCCACTGCTTGAAATATTCTCTGTCATTACAACGGACAACGGCTGGTTCTGGAATACTTACAGAACCTTGAATCTTTTTCGCAATCTCTATTTTATTGTTGATGGACTCTTCGATATATCCTTCCGCAACCGTTACAGATCGCCATCCTCGGTGTCTTTTTAACGTTGTCATGTTAACTCCTGCATTTGCCAGTAATGTAGCGGATGATCTCATACAATGGCCAATGTATTGCTCAGGATGCTGTAGGCCCAAGTTCTTGCGGAAGATCTTCCTGAATCATTTTTCTTTAAAATCTGACTTGCTGGTTGATAATTCACTATTTTATCGTTAAAAAATCGCGATTTATCTAAATGACGTCTTAATGTCAGTGCTATTTATTATTTACAAAAAAACAAAAAACGCACATCTATATTGCATAGTAACATAAAGGCACCCTGGTAATTTATTAATTCGCAGCAATGAAAATAGAACTGGTAGATCCTTTTAAATCAATTATTCTTTAGAGAGATTGGACATGAAACAGTTCTACTTAGAGATTGGACATGAAACGACTTATATAACATATAAGTCACTTGAGAACATTATCCTATTAACTAGAACTACCTATTAAATACTAAATTAGCAATTGATCATCACCATAAAAATGGTACGTTGTTATTTTGTACGTCGACAGATCGTTGGATTTACCGACTCGGATCCAACGACGTCGCTTTTAATAGGAAAGCGACGTCACCGGTCGTATCACCAGCACCCGACCTAAATTTGCACAAAGTCTAACGTCGCTTCAGGTCAGATTTAGTTCGAAGTCAGATAGATGCTACTTGGGTATTTTTCTCCATTTGTTTCTGTCTTTCGCCTTTATTCTCCACCCATCCACTCTTATCCTTCTCAAGTCCTCTTCTACATCCTTTTTCCATCGGATTCTCGGTCTACCCCTCCTTCTCTTTCCACCTATTTCACGTTTCATTATCGTATTAGGAATTCTTGCTTCGGCCATTCGTTCAATGTGTCCCAGCCATCTCAGTCTTTGTGCTCTTGCTACTCCCTCTATACTTGGTGCCCGATATAGTTGCTTTACTTCTTCATTTGTTCTTCTGATCCATATGTTGTCTATCTTCTTTCCTCCAAAAATCTTCCTCAGTATTTTTCTTTCCCAAATCTCTAGCCTCGAACTTTCTGTTGCATTGAACGTCCACGTTTCACATGCATACAGCACTATTGGTCTTATCATTGTTTGGTACATTCTGATTTTTAAACTTCTCGAAATGTTCTTACTCTTAATAATTTTCTGTAGTGCGCTGACACATCTATTTTCATGACACATCTATTTTCATCTGTCAAATGTTACTTTTTTTCTGTTACTTTTAGAAAAATAAGAATTGTACAGAAAACTGTGATATTTATGTTTGTTTTTCTTCTTTTCAGACTCATCCACTGTTCGTGGATGCCTTTCTCCAAAATAACCGCTTGGACCATGTCTCCCAAGTTATGGGGTACCATCCGGTCTATCTGGAGCAGTTCCTCAAAGCCCAGAACTATATCTTACGTGGAGACGGTCCGTTGCCATTTGTTTATAGACATTACATAGCCATTATGGTAAGTAAAAGAAATAACGAGATTTTCTTCTTCCATTGTTTTAATTGCTTCTTTTCGTTATTGTTAAGAACAATATCATTTAATATTAATGTTATGGTTTTGTTTGTAGGCGGCTGGAAGACATCAATGCAGCTACCTCATCGCCCTTCAGAAGCATGAATTTATGCTACAGGGTGGCGACGAAAACTGGCTTAGGGGTCTCAAATACATACCTCAGAAACTTAGGAATTTGTATGATATCAACAAGATCTTAGCTCATCGTCCTTGGTTGCTCAAAAAATCTCATATTGAGGTATGTTTAAATCACATTTTTCTTCCCAAAAAGTTCCAAATGAAACTCAAGATGTATGTCAATACAGTTTAGTTTTAACTGAGTAGCTAATCATTTGCTGATGATCACTTGTAGTGAAAATTGACATATATCATATTGCAACCGTCATGGCGGTAAATTTTGAAAATTCTATTTAAACATACAGAAAGTTAGAAGAAAAAATATCATCGAAAAGTAACAGAAAATATCATTCGAAAAATCAAACATTTTTAAAATTCTTTGTATCTATTGCAAAATAGACATATTATACATAAACTTCCATTTTATATTTAGGGTTTTGAATACCTAGTAATCTGACAGCACTTTTTACATAACAGGTAAAGAGAATTTTTAAATTTGCCAAGACAATTGCCAGATAATATATACAGAGTTGTTCACCACATACGACACGGAGTATTGTCGCTAAACGATTAGATTTTTACAAATTGTAAGTTTTTTTTGGGTTAGTTGAAGGACTATTAGAGCTACAATTTAAAAATAATTTTACAAGATACTGTGTCCCAAATAAGTAAAAATATTATAGTTGTATTTTTTTCTGCGATTGAAATAAAGGTAAATTTGATTAAGGTTTTTATCTCACTTAAACATTGCCGGTTTTGAAATATATTCAATTTTGTGAAATTGCAGTAAAAATTGTAAGGCTTCATTTCTCCAAGGGTATCAAAGTTTTTAATACTAAATATTTACTGAAGATTATTTATTGATCAGATATTGTGTTGCAATAATAAAAATTATACTACCATATACAGAGTGTCCAAAAATTTCTATTAAATAATTACTAGCTTTAAATGGCAATAACTTGTTTAATTTAAATGGAACACCCTGTATATTTTTTACCTATCTCTTCAAGTTTTCATAGAAAATGCATTTTCTTTTAATTTAGGTCTCATTTATCACTATACCCATGGAATATTGACATTTTAGATTTTTTTTAAAGCAACTTATGTATGTACAAAATGTACAGGTGGTAAAAATAATAATATTGCATGTCTATTTGTTTACAAAAAGAAAACTATTTAAATCTTATTCGAAAATTATGGAATCTTATTAAAAAAAAGTTATTTTAAATAAATATGGATTTGATTCAGAAATCAATATAAGAATAAGTTATGAAAATTAAGGTTTCTGTTGTTATAAATAAAAATGAAATAAAATTTATAAGATGTTACTTTTTACCACACTATCTAATACACATACAAAATTTAGTTTTTTAGTATTTGGAGCAATTATTATTAATCAATATAAACAGTCAATTAATGTAGTTTGAATACTGGGATTATATTAATTCCCTTAAATCCTCTTTAACAAAAAATCTTTAAACGGTTTTTTTATTTTTTTTTGAATGAAATAAGCGAACTATATCGACAATATTAGTATCTGGTATCTTTAAAAATAATGAGGTAATATACTCTGTATAGGTAGTATAATTTTTATTATTGCAACACCAATATATGGTAAATAAATAATCTTAAGTAAATATTTAGTATTAAATACTTTGATACCCTTGGAGAAATTTTTTACTGCAATTTCACAAAATTGAATATATTTCAAAAACGGTAATGTTTAAGTATGATAAACCTTACTCAAATTTACCTTTATTTCAATCCTAGAATTTAAAAATAGAATAATATACAGGGTGTTCCATTTAAAAAAATACAACCGTAATATTTTTTTACTTATTTGTTCCACTTTAATTGTATCTTGTAAAAATATCTTTAAATTTTAGCTCTAATAGTCTTTCAACGAACCCAAAACTTACAATTTTTAAAAATCTAATCATTTAGCTACAATACTCTGTGTCGTATGTGGTGAACAACCCAGTATACCAAAATTATTTTTTTCTGTTTTTGGACGTGGTGAATTCATAGGCAACTGAATTATAAAGATATCCTATAGTTTCTTCTTTTTGCCTGATATTTCGATAGTCTATTTTATTTACATACAAGTACTTCATTGTATGCCTATTCTTCCAGAAACTGACCAAATGCGGCAAGGACTCCTGGTCGCTGGCCGAAGTGGTTCACGCCATCGTCATCCTGGCCCACTTCCACAGCCTCTGTTGCTTCGCGTTCTCCAGCGGAGCCAACGAGGAACTGGACCAGGCCGGCGGCTACCAATACCCCGCAGTACAAACCGACACGTCTGTGACCAGGACTGCACAGACACCGTCACCTAGTAGTAATAGAGGAACTAATACCGTTGGAAACCGTCGCGGTAAGTAGTTAGATTATATTTTATGAGGTGGCTTTTGGACTAGAGGTGTGTAGTTCGTGAACGCACTAGTTCAAATGAACTATTCCGACCCCGGAATGAAAGGAACTAGTTCCCGGTTTCTCAAAGAACTAGTTCCTCAGGATTCCGGGATCGAGACTGTGACCGATATATAATAATATGCGATGACGACGGATCGGCCAGCGCGATCGTAGCCCGATGCTAGGCAGGAGTGGGGAGTGCCAGCCGTATATTATCGGATCCGGACCTAAAGGAACTAAATAAAACACTGGTTTACGTACGGATCGGCCAGCGCGATCATAGCACGATGCTAGGCAGGAGTGGGGAGTGCCAGCCATAATTAGGATATTATTTATTATATACCTATACTGCAAGAAATTTGTTTTCTATTTTATAATTTGGCTTGCCTGAAAAAAAGCCTTTTGCCATCCTTTTACTATTGATAGTTGCGCCTCGGTGGTACGAAACTACTACCATTGCACACAGGCCGTTATCTCCCGTTCGGGACTTAATATCTAACCTATACTTTCCGACAAGTCGGGATTAACTATCTCTGCGCTGTGGTTGTCATTTTGTGGATCTGCCCAAGCTCACCTGATGATGGAGTAGGGCTCCGAAACCGGTAGTGAGAGCAGGTTGATCCACATTATGACAAACACAGCGTAGAATTAAAATTATATATCAGCAGTTAAGTGGCAAGAATATTTTAAATCGATATTATGATATTTTTGTACGTCTCTACATTCATCCTTGTTTATTTCAGAAGGCTGTGAACCTGTGGGACCATGCCCCCCATCACCAACGGAACCGGAAGTAGGAATAACGACCCTTATGCAACGTATGAAAACTTTATCAGAACAAACGGAAGAATGCACCCCTGGTGAACTGGCCAAAAGATTCGAAAATATTGAGGTGAGTATCTTTATATCTTATTTTTTCCTATTTTAATAAGTAAATATCAATAACAGATCTAAGACTAATAATACAGAATAGACTTAAACAAAATTAGATTTTTGAAGGAGAACATAAAAGTAAAAATTTAAGCCATTTTTCTTGTATATATTGATTCCATACTTTTAGATTATTATTTAATCTAGAGGAGACGTTATATACTTATCAAATAGTTCTAATTTATTAAAAACGTTAAAATATATTAATCTCCCGATTACATCAGAAGTGGGATCAGTTTTAACACAGCGTTCTTGACTGTTATTTCGGACTTACTTACTATTGATTTGACTTTGTGATCTTTGACACTATCGTTTAGTATATACATCGGTTTCGCAGATAGGTAGACCACCGAAGAGGTGATTCTGACGCATCAAATAAGGGCTAATCTGCACGTTAAAGAAATAAAAACCAAATGTTTTGGATAAACTCTGTACAAAAAATGACAATAACCGTCACTTTACAGTGACAGTTGTTGTCTGTCATAATTCAGAGGTATATTGAATTTTGTGCCAATTTTTATCTGTCGAAATCTCCTCTGGTTCGTAGGCCAGACTTTAATCGTTTGCTCATTCTGAGAATTGTTATAATTATCTTAAGTTTATGATTATTTTTCATATATTTTATTTCTTCTGTTAGGTACAATCGGCAGAACTGAACGTTGTAGGTGCAGCACCTGCAGAAACGCCGGCAGACATCAGTTACTTCATTGACGACCCCACCTTTCAGTACCAGGACTTCGCAAAACGGGGAGAATCGGATATTCACACGTTTAGAGTGCAGGATTATTCTTGGGACGATCATGGTTATTCGACTGTTAACAGGTACTTAGAGTTTTTCTTATGTTACTTTAAAAAAATCTAAAATGGATAGGTCAGGTGATCGAGGAAGCCCATGCAATTGGTCCACCTCTTTCTATCCATGGGTTTGCATAATTATGATAATGGGTTTGATAATAATTTTTAACATTTCTTTCGTTATGGAAGGGGGGTGTCATAATGAAAGTCATGTTGGAATCTCTCTATTGATGCGCGAGTATCTAAATTTAAATTTTCTAACATGTCTTGAAACCCGTTCTCTAAAAAACGTAAGTAACGTTCACCTGTCAACGTATCCTCGAAACTGTATGGCCATGAAAAGTTGAACCAACAATCCTACACGCTTTTCTTCATTTGAAAAATTCATATTTACAATTTTTGTTTATTTTAATTTACAAAGTTTCGATGTAACAGTTTCACATTTCTGAGAACAACGACAGTTGAATTTGTTTCCATGGCTAAGTGAAATTGTTTAAAAATGGTAAGAATTGGCTATAATTCAGTAATTTTTCGAAAAAAAAACATATTATAGCTTATATAGCTGAAAAGCTTAAAAATGGCGCCTACTATGGTTTCTATTTAAAAATTGTATGTTTGTGTCATATGTCAAAAATGACAGGCTTTAGAAAAAAACGGAGGACACAGTCTTATTAAGGATGTGATTATCTTCAACTTTTATCTGAAAACTTTTTGTCTGAAATAGATTATAATGGAATTGGGGATAATTTTTAAAACAGCTGAAATTTGTTTTTTTTTCGAAATTAAGTCATGAACTTTTTGATTTGATTGAAAAATGACGCATAATTATGGGCTCACAAAACTACAATTCTTTTCCCATTTAACCGACCCTCTATCTCCAGTACTTATACCCAGATACCCATAGAGAACATCGTATAAAACTCGCCCTGCATAATGTCAATCATCTAAACGAGAAAAACATAAAAATGAAAACTGTGATTTTTCTATATTTATCTACAATTTATGTTTTAAACTTTAAAGCAGAAGAAAGATTATTTACAATTTCAAGCCTTATGACCCACTCACTGTTGTTTATTACATATTTTTTATATACTTTATAAGTCAGATTTTATGATTATTTATTGAGAGGCAAATAGACTTGACTTAAAATAACGCATTATTGTTTAAGTGCTACTACTTTGAAATCAGTACATTCAAAAATAAGATGTTAAGATAAAGGATCTCTTAGAAACTCGCAATTTTCCAAATGTACTAGTTATAATATACAATGTGTTTGACAATTCAAACAGTATGCAATGTGTAACACCTATACCGGGTGTTGCATCGTCGAGCGGGACATAGGAAATCCCATGTAAATTTTAATGGGGTCAATTATTGACTTCCCTAATTATTTTAGAGAATAATTCTATTTAGGTTTATTGAAGAGCACTAAAACCCACATTCAAAAGAATAACTTTAGATATTTTTGATTAGCCCGTTTACGAGTTATCGCAGATTTCTTTTTAAATATTTCTCCTTTCTTATGGCCCTGTATTTACTTATGAGCACCAGTCAAGGTAAAAGATAACTTTCAAATGAAGTTGTCGTTTCAGAAATTTATCTATTTAGTGCTTTATTATTATTATTAAAAACTCATATCTACATCGAAAATATTAGCCATGAATTACACTACCGAAGAAAAAAACCAAAGGTACCCTAATAAATAACTGCAGATGTGAAGCAAGGCAGGAACAAAGAGAAGATGCAAGAAATGATACCGACTTGGAAGTTTTATTGTGCGTGGAAGAGAACGATGGAAAGAGCAGCACAAGGAAACTTGAGGATGAAATAGGAACAGATCACACTACAGCGTTTCGAATTTTGAAACGACATAAATACTATTCCTTCAAATATGAAAAGCACCAGAGCTACGAGATGGGGACGAAATACGGCGGCAGGCGTTTTGTTTTGATATGATGGAAAGAGCAAACACGGATAGGGAATTTTTAAAAAACATATGTTTCACTGACGAATGCACGTTTACCTTAAATAATGAACCCAATATTCAAAATTATCGATATTGGAACAAAGAAAACCAACACAGGCTTGTCGAAACAAGGACACAATATCCACAGAAAGTAAATGTTTGGGCAGGAATATTCGGACACAATATTATCGGGCCATTATTTCTTACGCGAAATTTAAATGCAGAATATTATTTGGAACTACTCGAAAATCATATTTTACCTGCTTTACATGATGCCTCTAGGGAAAATCAGGAAGTTTGGTACCAAATGGATGGCTGCCCGGCACATAGTACCCTGGCTGTTCAGGAATATTTAGACAATAGTTTTAACGGAAACATTATTGGCCTAAATCATACAGTAAATTGGCCAGCAAGGTCTCCTGATATTTCGCCAAATGATTTCTTTCTCTGGGGCCATTTAAAAAACAGGATATACAAGGATAAAAAATACCCAAATCTAGACGAGTTAAAAAACGCTATTTCTGCCGAATGCAATAGAATTTCAGTTTACCAACTAGCGTATGTAAGAATGTAAGAAGAGAATTTTATGATCGCCTGGGTTATTGTCTAGCAGTCGATGGAGGAATATTTGAACATCTTCTTAAATCCTAAAGTTCTAACAATTTAATAGTATCTAAATTAATAAGGTATTGAATATTCTAATAATACTATAATTAACCTTGTAATTGATTACTTTATTTTACTTTAATTCATATTAATTTGTTTTTATAAATACATCTTTAATATTTCCGATGTAGGAATGAGTTTTCAATACTAATAAAGCACTAAATAGGTAAATTTCTGAAATGACAACTTCATTTGACAGTTATCTCTTACCTTGACTGGTGCTCATAAGTAAATACAGGGCCATAAGAAAGGAGAAATATTTAAAAAGAAATCGGCGATAACTCGTAAACGAGCAAATCAAAAATATCAAAAGTTATTCTTTTGAATGTGAGTCTTAGTGCTCTTCAATAAATCTAAATAGAATTATTCTCTAAAATAATTAGGGAAGCCAATAATTGACCCCATTAAAATTTATATGGGATTTCCTATGTCCCGTCCGACGATGCAACACCCGGTATATAAAATGAGTATGATACAAAAAAAAATAAATAAAAACTTAACAAATGCATAAGAATAAGAAACATAGAACAATGACTCTCTATATTAAGCTAGTATTCACTTTTGTTGAACGCAAGCTCCGTATACAATAGGGTGGAGCGACCATATAGGTGAGAATTTTTTTGTTTTCGAAAATTAAGTTTCCTGACCGGACAATAGCTATGATATGAAAAAATAAGGCGTCACGTATTTTTGTTTTTTTTTTTAGTTTCCCCCTCCACCGCCACAGTCAACTTAAAAATTTCAGATTTTTTTTTGTTGAAAATGATCTCTCCTGAGTATGAGAAAGCTTTATTATGGAAAAAGTAGTATTTTTTGTATATAAACTTTTTTCTACGACTCCCCCCTCCACCAACACAGCCAATTTTAAAAAAATCGGATTGTTTTAAAATGATAATGCTTGAGTGTCCAATAACTTTCTACTCAAAAAGGTATGTATTTTGAATGCACTATTTTTTTGTGATTATCTCCATGAGGCAAAGTAATAAAAGATGAATTTTTAAGAAAATATTTGTATTAAAGAAAAACTAATTGAAAAATAAGACAAAACAAAATAAAATAATAACATAAGCTTAAAGAACAATTATTTGGTTTTAAAATTCTTTTTTGATTCAAATTTAGGCATCAATGTTCTTGAATTTAGTTTGCTTCTTATGACTCCATCCCTCCTTTCGTAGCCGCAAACCGTAACGGATGCTTCAGTTACCACCTTTACTGCCCGTTCTACTGCTTGGGTATGATAAGAGTAATTTCTGATGTGCTAAAGATGAATCTTCTGGGTTTTCTATCACTTCTTTTATTAGTTCTACGGTCAGCTTTCTAGTTACAGAGGGTTCATTATAACGCAAACTTTGTCATTCAATTAAATCATAGTAGTCGTCAGCGTCAAATTTTAAACCGGATTATTAAAAAATCGAGAATTCTTCTCAGAATCTTCTGAGAATTCTTCTCAGAATGGTACCAAATTCTGATCAGGATTTGACGTAGCTACGTATAGGCGCAAAATTCTGTTTACTGTAGTCAACCAGCGAGAGTGCACTAATTTTCCAGAACCACGTTTTGACAGCCCTTCAGAGCAATTTCCACTTCTTATTGAAACACACATGTCATATAAATATCTTTGTTCTGTGCTTAATTCCATATTCGGTAACACAAAGTCTGTTTTGGAAAATTTTACAATGGCCAGTTTTTTACAGCTACTTAAAAGTAGGACCTCTAAATGCCCTGGGACCAGATGTTTCACCGTCAAGATGTAATAAAAGATGTCGCAACGGAAGCTCGTTAGCATGCAACATGCAAACAAACCATTGAAGAGGACGATCCAGTTTTCTTTCTAATCTGGTTATTATTCCGTTCTCATTTCCGACTTTCGTATTAGTTCCATCACAACCGATGACCTACAGATCGTCCAGTGCAATAGAATGTCTTCAAAAATTGAATCATAGCTTCTAATATACTTGAAAAAGATCCAGAAGTATATGTGACCAATATATTTTGATTTGGTTCTTCTACCAACACAACACGTTCTTCTGCTATTCCCCTTTTTCTGTTATCTGTAAAAGTGGGCGTCTTGTCTTTTCGCCCATAAAAGTCGGTCCTAAAGGTCATTATATTTTATAGGTAATGGCACAAACTATTTTGAAATAAAAAGTATACTATTTTACGGGCAAAAACGCAATAAGTTTTAAAGTGAAAGAAAAAAGTATTATTTATTTATTTATTTTTACACTACCTGAGCTTGCAAAATACTGGTCTTACTAAAACAAACATTTTTTGTAAATTATTTTTCTTCGTTAATATTTATTTTTCACCACCACAGCGCGAAAATGTGAAAAATAAAAGTGAAGGGGTTGGGGCGGTGGAAGGGGGTGTCGAAAAATTTCCGTTTTAATTTTTAAATGATTATTTTAAAGTTCTCCGTACTTTACAGAGTCAGGCGTACTGAATATATAAAATTCATTTTTTCGCTCCACCCTAGTATACAATGAATAAATAACCAAGAAGTGATCGCGCCACTAACTAGGAATAAAACTGATTCGGTTAAAATCGGGCAAAATAACCGAAATTATATATGCTTAACGTTCGAAAATAACGTCAATAACATTGACGCTTTAAAAGCAGAAAATCCCATTTGTGATGCTAAAACTTACTTATATGTGTAATATCTTCCGTTTTCAATTTATTTTTGAATAAAATTAAAAAAATATATATAATTATGTTTGTTACAATAAGTGTTTGTTTTTTTGTAGCAACACTACTTGGAAATATACATTGTTTTAAGATAGTTTGTTTTATCTTAATACTATTTTTGGATTTATTGCTCTTAAACTACTAGTACTTTACAAAAGATAATCATGCCATTTTAAGTTATCAACAATATGAGGGGGCCCACACACAGTAGTTATAAAACGCTACTAAAATAAGTGCATTTTATCATGAGATAAGAAAGTGTATTTATTTCTAATTTTATGTGATCTTTCAGATTTTAAAAACTAAATCACCAATATATTTTAGGAGTAGCAGCTTTAATATTATAATTAAAATTAATCTGCAAGAGTTTTGAACAGTTGTGCTGTAAAGAGCTCTTTTCTATGAAATTAATAGCATTTCTAATCAGATATAATAATTAATTATTTTGAAATTTTGTAACGCGGTTTTTGGCTATCTTTTGCCGATATAAAGTTAACAACTAGATAATTATTTAAAAAAAAACAATATCATAGGTAATTTACTTTTTTTAAACAATGTGAAATTCGGCAGTTTAAGAAAAGAACTTTGTTTTTTTTTTCAGTGTAAGTCTCACAATTTTAATGATTATATTGTTGATGATGAAAATAATCTCACTAAAATATCTTCATGATTTTTAACTTTCAGAATTCGGAATTTACAGTATGCTATACAGGGTGGTCCGAACTGTATTCCGGAAACTTCGGCAGCATATTCTGCAGATAAAAATAAGTAAAAAAGTTCGTATAAATGTATGTCGTAAAATACTTAGTTTCGGAGATACAGGGTATAGAAGTTTCATTTTTATTTCAATTTTTTCTAAATAATTTCTGAAGTAACGTCAATATCTGGATGAAAATTGATGTCTGGGGGTCTTGTGATACGAGAAATTTGATTTTGATGTCAAAATAACTCCTATTTGTAGGGGGCGCCACCTACACGCGTTTTGACTGTTTTGAAGAGTAATAACTTTTCGTCCGTACCTGTATAAAACTACTGACTAAAAAAATATTCATTTCCAGGTCTTTTTATATAAAAAATGTCTCTTGGTAAAAATCGCTCCGCGCAACCATTCTCAAGATATTTAAAATGGGAATAGTTAATACCATGTTATTATTGACAAAAAATAAACACACGTTGAATAAAGTTATTTGACTGGAATAATAATTTTTTATTTTTTTAAATTAATCATAAATTTTTCTGCTAAAAAATTATGATTATACAGTTTCTGTTGAACTTTTGGCACAAAAAGATTTCAAATTTAAGATTTCAGTCTAATAACTATTTAGCCAACATGTTTAATTTGTTAATGATGACATGTATGGATTATTTCAATTTCAAATATCTGGAGAACCATTACTCGTAGCCAAGCCAAACCATTTACTTGTAGCCTTTTTACCAAGAGACCTTTATTATGTAGAAAAAGTTGTAAATGTATATTTTTTTACTCAATAGTTTTATACAGGTGTGGACGAAAAGTTATTACTCTTCAAACCAGTTAAAGCATATGTAGGTACTGCCCTCTACAAGTAGGAGTCATATTGATCTGAAAATCAAATTTCTCATGTCAAAAAACTCCCAGACACCAATTTTCATCCAAATATTGACGTTACTTCTTAAATTATTTGGAAATAATCGAAATAAAAATGAAACTTCTACACCCTGTATCTCCGAAACTAAGCATTTTAGGACATACATTTACACGAACTTTTTTACTTATTGTGCAGAATATGCTGCCGAAGTTTCCGTAATGCAGTTGGACCACCCTGTATATTTCAAGAATCTATTTCCGGTTATTCCAGAAGTAGACATTAAATGGAACTCAATTTATGTAAAATATTCTATATCCAAGCTTAACCGTTTTTGGAAGTTTTCAATTTTATATCAAAAATAATATGCACATGCAAATAGTATATTTTTAGTTAGTTGAAAATTTTTAAATTTTTTTAAAAAAGGCTAATTTCACTTAAGAAAGTGCAATAAAATATTTTCATAATCTATTTTGAAATGTTAGACAATGTTTTGGTCGGGTACTTTCTTAATTGTTTTCCATAATTTGTCTGGATATGAAATACGTTGGTTTAACTACTGTTACATTAGCACTAACTACACACTTTGTTTGACAACAAATTACGTATAAAAATAGTTTTAGTCAGTTTAACAAATTTTTGATAAGGCTAGTTTCACTTAAGAAAGCGAAATAAAATATTTTCTTAATCTATTTCGAAATTTTACACAATGTTTTGGTCAGGTACTTTTTTAATTGTTTTTCATAATTTGTCTAGTTATTAAACACGTTTACTTGACTACTGCTACATATTACCACTAACTACACACTTTGACACAAAAAAATTAGTATAAAAATAATTTTAGCCAATTTTACAAATTTTTGATAAGGCTAGTTTCACTTAAGAAAGTGAAATAAAACATTTTCTTAATTTCTTTCGAAATTTCACACAATGTTTTAGTCAGGTACTTTCCAGATTGTTTTTCATAATTTGTCTGAATCTGAAGCACGTTTGCTTAACTACAACTACATTGTCACTAACACACACCCTGACAACAAATTCCTGATAAAATAAGATTTAGTCAGTTTAACAGCTTTTTAGTGTTGTTACTCTGACTTAAGAAGTGAAATAAAAATATTTTCTAAATCCATTTCGAAATTTCACACATTGTTTTGGTCAGGCACTTTCCTAATTGTTTTTCATAATTTGTCTGGAACTGAAACACATTTGTTCAACTACAATTAGACTGTCACTAGCACACACCCTGACAACAAATTCCTGATAAAATAAGATTTAGTCAGTTTAACAGCTTTTTAATGTTGTCACTCTGGCTCAAGAAGAGAAATAAAAATATTTTCTAAATCCATTTCGAAATTTCACACAATGTTTTGGTCAGGTACTTTCATAATTGTTTTTCATAATTTGTCTGGATCTGAATCACGTTTAGTTAACTACAACTACACTATTACCAACACACACCCTGACAACAAATTCCAGATAAAAGATTTAGTCAGTTTAACAGCTTTTTAATATCGTCAGTCTGACTCAAGAAGTGAAATAAAATATTTTCTAAATCAATTTCGAAATGCCACACAATGTTTTGGTCAGGTACTTTCCTAATTGTCTGGATATGAATCACGGTTGGTTCACTACAACTACACTGTCACTAACACACACACACCCTGACAACAAATTCCAGATAAAATAAGATTTAGTCAGTTTAACAGCTTTTTAATGTTGTCACTCTGGCTCAAGAAGTGAAATAAAAATATTTTCTAAATCCATTTCGAAATTTCACACAATGTTTTTGGTCGGGTACTTTCCTAATTGTTTTTCATAATTTATCTGGATCTGAATCACGTTTAGTTAACTACAACTACACTGTTACCAACACACACCCTGACAACAAATTCCAGATAAAAGATTTAGTGAGTTTAACAGCTTTTTAATATCGTCAGTCTGACTCAAGAAGTGAAATAAAATATTTTCTAAATTTCGAAATGTCACACAATGTTTTGGTCAGGTACTTTCCTAATTGTTTTTCATAATTGTCTGGATATGAATCACGGTTGGTTCACTACAACTACACTGTCACTAACACACCCTGACAACAAATTCCAGATAAAATAAGATTTAGTCAGTTTAACAGCTTTTTAATATTGTCAGTCAGTGAAATAAAATATTTTCTTAATTCAATTAGAAATTTCACACAATGTTTTGGTCAGGCACTTTCCTAATTGTTTTTCATAATTTGTCTGGATCTAAAATACGTTTATTCAACTACAACTAGACTGTCACTAGTACACACCCTGACAACGAATTCCAGATAAAATAAGATTTAGTCAGTTTAACAGCTTTTTAATATCGTCAGTCTAACTCAAGAAGTGAAATAAAATATTTTCTAAATACATTTCGAAATTTCACACAATGTTTTGGTCAGGTGCTTTCCTAATTGTTTTTCATAATTTGTCTGCAACACGTTTGTTCAACTACAACTAGACTGTCACTAGCACACACCCTGACAACAAGTTCCAGATAAAATAAGATTCAGTCAGTTTAACCGTTATTTAGTGAGTCAAGAAGTTAATGTTCACACAATGTCAGGTACTTTCCTAATTGTTTTTCATAATTTGTCTGTATACGAAACACGTTTGCTAAACTACAATTACACTGTCGCTAATACACAATCTGACAACAAATTCCAGATAATATAATTTTAGTTATTTTAAAAATAAAACATTTTCAATTTTCTTTCTTCTAGACTGTACAATGACGTAGGAACCTTACTCGACGGCAAATTCAGGACCGCTTACCATCTCACTTACTACACCATGGGCGGCAGGACCGACGTGGACACGTCCAGGTTCCGACGGGCCATCTGGAACTATATTCAGGCGCTGCTGGGCATACGTCACGACGACTACGACTACGGAGAGATCAACGCCCTGGTGGAAAGATCGCTGAAGACGTTCATCAAGAGCGCCTGTTGTTATCCGGAACGGGTGACCAAGAAGGAATACGATCGCGTTATGAGGGAGTTCGAGCATAGTGAAAAGGTAGGTTATTGTCATTTTTATGTTACAAACGAAATTTAGAACTTAGAGTCTTAGAGTTAGAGTCTTATTGCTTTGGCTTTTGTATCTTACAAATGGATCTGAAGCAGCGAAAGGACTGTTGGCAAAGAAAACATCGTTGTTGTCAGGTTTAACCATACAGAAGCAAAACTACTCGATATTACCTATAAATTTAATATACAGGATTGTTCACCACATACGACACGGAATATTGTAGCTAAACAATTAGCTTTTTGCAAATTGTAAGTTTCGGGTTCGTTGAAGGTCTATTAGAGTATTTCAAATAAATAAAAAATATCACAGTTGTATTTTTTTAAATGGAACACCCTGTATATTATTACATTTTTAGTTTCTACGATTAAAATAAATGTAAATTTGATTAATGTTTACTGCATTTTAATCTTACCGTTTTTGAAATATTTAGGTTTTTGTCAAAATACAATAATATTTTTAATGCTTCACTTCTCTAGACGTATTCAAGTTTTTAAAACCAAATATCGTACTGAGTATTTCTATTTACTAAATTTTGTGTTGCAATAATAAAAATTATACTACCTTATACAGAGTGTCTAAAAATTTATTTTAAATAATTACTTAGCTTTAAACGGCAATAACTTCATCTCATTTATCAATATACCCATATTACCCATGGAGTATTGACATTTTAGATTATTTTTAAAGATGTAACAAATTTTTAAAGAGTAATGATACTAATATTGTCGATATAGTTCGTTTATTTCATTAAAAAATAAAAAAAGGACCAATTAATATGATTCCAGTATTCAAACTACATTAATTGACCGTTTACGTTGATTAATAATAATTGTTCTATAAACTAAAAAACTGAATTTTACAATAATTTGTTAACTAACACAATTAAGTATGTAATTAATTAATATTTGGGCGGAAATAATGGTGGTATATTTAATTAATGGTATACTCTTTTATAAAGATTTAAATAGTTTTCTTTTTGTATACAAATGGGGTAGTAATGTTATCGTTTTTAGCACCTGTAACTACATTTTGTACATTTGTTGCTTTAAAAACAATGGGTATATTGATAAATGAGGTCTAAATTATAAGAAAATGCATTTTCCACGAAAACTTGAAGGGATAAAAAGTGGTATAACGCAATAGATAATTAAATTGTGCATCTGATTTGATTCTCCTAAAATATACAGGGTGTTCCGTTTAAATTCAACAAATTATTGCCGTTTAAAGCTCGAAATTATTTAAAATAAATTTTTAAACATTCTCTATGAATAAACTTCAGTAACTATTTAGTATTAAAAAAAATATACCCTTGGAGAAATGAAGCCTTAAATATTTACTGCTATTTCACAAAATTGAAAATATTTCAAAAACGGTAAGGTTTAGGTGTGATAAACCTTAATCAAATTTACCTTTATTTTAATCATAGGAACTAAAAATGTTGTAATATACAGGGTGTTTAATCTAAAAAATACAACTTTGAAATTTTTTATTTATTTGGGACACTCTGTATCTTGTAAAAATATTTTTAAATTGTAGCTCTAATAGTCCTTCAACGAACCCAAAACTTACAATTTGTAAAAATCTAATCGTTTAGCTACAATACTCCGTGTCGTATGTGGTGAACAACCTTGTATATTGTGATATTACCATAGACTTAAAATAAAATATAGACTACACTATTTACATCTCAACGCGGACAAACAACCTTTTTTGTACACATGTTTACTTCTGGGTACAGTCGACCGAGCCTTCCTCATCCAGCCTATGTTGTCACGTCTTTAATATTATCAATATTTTTTTTCTTGTTATACACATATATATTGAGATATTAATACTACAGTTTAATAAAGTAGGTTTAATATTCCAGAGATGTATTAAATAGTCCTTATACTACTAAATTATAAGTCGGATACTGTTTAAAAAGGATAAGTTCTTTACAATATGACAACACCGATTAGAGGCGAGGGAGCCTATTCATTCATTTATTACCTTGTAGTACGTGTCGCACGTGTGCGGTAAAGCTTTGTTGCCGCTATCTCCCCGGCTGTATTAACGCATTTTCTTAGCTTGTAGTGCTTAAGTGTTTATTTTATTGACTTTTTCTGTTCAAGAACTATAAAATATGGTTCGCCAGTGCCAAATTTGCAAGAAATTTGACTTAAATAATCCATTTAAGTCTTGAAACGACTTTTGACCGGTAGGCAACTCTCAATTTACCCATTGGGAGTCAGTGGCGTTGTTGTAGAAAGGCGCTTATTTAGATAATATTTTAGTAAAATGTAAAATCTGAATTTTTTCTCTTACATTACATTATTTACTTACTTACATTGTAACAAAATCATAATTATAACCCTGTTAATAATTAATAATGTTTTTATTAAAAATATATTCCGGTTTATTCTAAAATTATCTTCAGAATCTAAAATAACATACAAGAATTTTAAAATGATATTACATTATGAAACAATATTTTTTAATATACCGGGTCGTCTCAAAAGTGGCTCACCCCTATAACTTTTTTTATTTTTCAGATAAAAAAACAGATTTGTATGTTAGTAGGTATATGACATAAATTAGGATTTATTGACGTATTCAATTGTTTTGGTCTCTTCCTGTTTCACCGAAATGGTTACATCTTTTGATTTTTAAAGGCACCCTCGGTATATTGCTACTTTATTCGATAAAAAATGACACTCTGAATAGAATGACATATCATATGTCAACTTTGACATTGTCGCTTAAAAACATATCCTATTTTAAATTTCAATCCAGTTTTTTTCAATCCATTAAGTTTTAATCAAGGAGCCTTGGAAAAATAGTTTTGATCGTCTAATAAGTTTCGTGTCTTGTCTAGGCCGGTTAAAAGATGTACATATCGTATTTTTAATCATACATATGTCAATTTTTTCAAATGGAACAAGGGTGACTCATTAGCATATTTGGAAAAAGCATTTTTTTATGAATATATTGATACCACACACTTGGTATTTCGAGTCAAATTGTCGTTATGAACCGCGTGTTACAATTACAATTAAACCGTATGCGAAAATGTCAAAAGTTGACATATGGTATGTCATTCTATTCAGAGTGTCATTTTCTATCGAATAAAGTAGAAATATACCGAGGGTGCCGTTTAAAAATTAAAAGTTATAGTCATTTCCGGTGAAACGGGAAGTGACCAAAAACAATTGAATGCGTCAATCAATCCTAATTTATTTCATATACTAACATACTAAATCTTGTTTTTTTATTTGAAAATATAAAAAAATTATGGGGATGAGCCACTTTTGAGACGCACCCGGTATAATAAAGACAGTACCGAGTTAAATAAATGTAGTTTTTATTTTATCCACTTCCTATCACCTTCCTTGCTTTAATGGAACAGATATTATGTTTTCTCTAATTTACATAATAAGACATCACTTAACCAGAAAAAAAATTACAACAATCATATTTTTTTTTTCTCTCCCTGTCGCCGATTCTATTATATCTGTGGAATAGATCCTGTTTTGATTAATATTAGGGGTTGTAAATGTTTGACTAAAATTAATAATTTATTATTAATTTCAAAAATTACCTAATTTCGATTATAACATTTTTTCTATAACGTGTATTTTATTTGGACTCTAAATCGTTTTTCTAAACTTTTATTTAAAAACCTGTCCTAAATCTTAATAAAATATAAAAAGTTTAAATACGATATATTTTTAATTTAATTATAGCTTCATTAAAATAAAAAATTACCCGGCTATGATACGGAGAGTTCAGGTGTACTTGAGAAACGAAAGACAGTGTTGTGTTTCTCGGCAGAGTCGTCAGGGAACGACCGTTACGACAGAGACAACCTATCTATCGCTCGTGTCGCACTCGTTATAACCTAAAACAATAACACAACAATAACAAGACAGTGTCTGACCGCATGTTCCAGCTATTTATGAATGAGATGCTCAGTCTATATTTTATTTTAAGTCTATGGATATTACCAAGAAATTATGTTATTAATTATTGTATCTTCATTTCAGGTTCACGTCAACCTGATGGTTCTGGAATCCAGGATGCAGGCAGAACTGTTATACGCCCTGCGCACCGTCAATCGTTATATGACATAAGTTCTTTTTTTATACCGTTTTTTATTATGATTATTATTATTATTTTAAATAATGTTTTCGTACTTTGTTGTTAGGCCTCACAATCATAAACTTTAAGTCGTCTAAAAATCAAACCATATACAGTGTGCTGTTGTTACCAAGACTTGTGTGCGATCTACATATTCTATATTTGTTCTCTTCCCATTACGTATAAATTTGTATTTAGCCATTTCGTTATGACCACACTGTATATATCTATAACAATACCAAGTCGATATAGACAAAAGAGATTGTAAGAATTTGAAAAAAGTTATATATTGTAACGTGAAAAAAATACAAAAAAAAGTGTAAATATTTTTATAGGTTCCGCCACTGACGCCGAATATTTATTGGAAACAAGGGCAGTGGCGCGCGACCGGTAACCTCACAAAAATGAGAGGCACTTGAAAAGAATTTGAGAATATTGTACATACATACTATTCTATTAACCGTTTAAACATATTTTTATCATAATCGAGCATGCCTGAGGATGTGATCTGTAATAATAATGGCGGAACAATTTTTTGTTGTTGGCGTATCAGAATGCAAAAAGTAACGGGAAAAAAATTGAGCCTTTGAAGGAATATCGACAGAATTTGCCATTTTTTTTAAATCTATATATTTGTTTGTTTTCTTTTATTAATATTATGATGTAAAATAAGTTTACGAAAGGAAAAAAGTACAAAATTCTCCACGGGAATTAAATCCGTTTAGTTTTTGACGTATTCCTCTGACATAAATAATACCTAAGCCTAAATCGAAAACAAAGTCCTAAAAGTGTTGAATGAAATGTTTTTTGAAAGATATCACCTTATATAATTTAAAATTTTTTCAAAGTACTGCAAAGACTAAATACAGAAAGCTAAAATCCCTGATAAAATGTACTAAAATTATTAGGAAAGTACTGTTCGTATGGGCTGGAGCAAAATTTGTGATTTTAAATGCCATTTTTTGGTGCCAAACAAAGAAAGTGACACCAGGGACAATTTTAGCAATTTTTATTAGTTATTGTGTGCAGTGAACCTTGTATAAACTTTATTACAATGGTGATTTGTTCAGATTTTAGGTGTAGAACAAATCAAGAACTTTCTTACTTATTTGACTAGTATTTGACAGGCGTCAGAAGATGGTTAGGTTAGGTTAGGTTTCTTCCGCACTCTGGACATTCAAAAATATCAATACTTTGTTGCCTCTTTACTTTTTGGTTGTCGTTGTTAACTAAGTTTGCAATTATTCTCCATTGCATTCTGTTGTGCGCTGCTTCTTCCCACTGATTCTGAATGCTTTCCCCTTTAAGTTTTCATGGAAAATATCCTTGTACCTTCTGAGTTGTCCACCCGGTTTTCACTTACCGTCTAAAGCTCACCGCTAAGAAGAGATTTCGGTAGGCGGTTTTCTTGCATCCTGCATACGTGACCAGCCCGTCTTAAGCGGGATTTAGTAATCATGACATCAGCGTTCTCGCAGCTAACTTTTTCAAGGACCGATGCATTTGAGACATGGTGGGACCATTTTGATTCTTAACAGTTGCCTAAGGTGTCTCTGTTGCAACTTGTTTAATGCGTTCAGGTGCCGGATGTACGGCACCCAGGTTTCAGTTCCATATAACATGGTGGGAATTATCATTGCTCAGTACACTGCAAGTTTCGGTTCTGTGCTCAATTCATGATTGTAGAAAACCCTGTCTTTTGCAGAATGCTCTTGAGGCGCTGCTAATTCTGTGCTGAATTTCAGAGTCGACTGACCTTTTCCGAAATCAAACTGCTGATAAAGAAAACAATTAATTTTTTGCACTCGGCTTTGTAGCTTTTTTTATTGAATTAGATAATTATTTTTCAGATACACTATGATATGTGCTTGTGTTACATATGTTGGCATATTATTCCATAATAGTTTTGTACCTTTTGTGAACATTTTAATAGTTTTTTCTTTAAATAATTGACCTAAAAAAGTAGCATCCACTATATGCGTAGCCGAAACTTTTAACAAAAATATAAATTAATAGAGATTTTTCATAACTAAATATATCTAATAATTCGTAATTAAATTTTGTAAACTCTCCTATTTAGTCAATACCTGGCCACATTTATAAATTAATTTTGTGAGATAAAAAATTGAATAATTAATTTTATTTTAAAATTAATTAATCAATTTTATTTAAATCTTTATTTTTTATATTAACCTTCTGACACGGCACTGCACTGGCAAAATAGCTTTGGTGTCAACTGGTAACTATTTTGTTCCCGGTGTTGTTGCTTTTGGTATTCTTTAGTCATTGGGACAAAGCATAATAATTTTAGTACACCATACAGTCGAAAAAAAACGGCGTCAGATATGCCTCGAAGATAAAGATCTCCGTTATTTTATATGTAAAATTATATAGAGAATGGCATGTATTCAAAGCCAACTTGGCGCCGTTTTTCCAGTCGTACGGTATTCTAGTTTAAGGGATTTTGATAAATTTTCTTTATATTTTTCAAAAAGACAGGCACATTAAAAAAATACTTGAAATTAAAATGACAGAAAACTATCGATTCTGTCATTATTATCTATACACCGTATCGATGGCTATAAAATGATGATCAATGAGAATGTCATCGATGGTCATTTCCAAGCCAACTGGACGCCGTTTTTTTTTCGATCATACAGTACTATAATTATATATACATAATACATAGAAGGTAATCTTTAAATAGAATTGTCATGGGATAAAGGGAATTATTTATTAGTGGATAGTCATAGTGATCAATAAAGAAAAATACAATATGATCTAGAAAATTTATGGGCAAGTGTGATTTTTAACTGTCAAAATCACAGCCCTCTTTCATTATAAATCTTTTTGATTTAATGATATTTAAAAACAGTTTTCGAATTTGATTTAATTATGGGAAATGGTAAAAAGTTTGCAGATATTTCTTAGTGCTTTGTAAAAAGTTTTTGAAAATTATTTTAATTATTATATAAGGTCAGATAGAAGGATACTTATAATACAATAAATAAAAAAAATGTAAGAAACATGGTTGCCCAAAAATACTTTGGATGTTAAAAGACCAAATTATCGAGGTGTAAAATAAGTGAAAAATCTAATAATACAAAAAAATTTAAGAATAACTAAATTTTAAAATTATTAAAAAAAAATTATATGAAAACCATTTTAGCTGCATTTACTTCTGGTTTTTAATCAGTTAAAATTATTTAAAAAATATTAAATAAAATTAATTTTTATACCTATGTAATAATTTTTGTAATGATTTAGATATTGTCACAATCAAATGGTTCATATATATTTGATTTTTATCTTAAACTCGTGTTGATTTCAAGGCATCCATGTTTGTTGCTGACTTTTTTTTATTAATTTTATAATATTTTGTCTTAAAGGTTTGAATGTTGCAAGTTTTGATCTCATTTTATTATCCGTGATTTTTAAAGGTAGGAGAATAGTCAACTAATCCTCATCTGAATTACTCATCAGGGATAAAGTAAACTATAATATCTTTATTTTAATTGTTCTTGTATATATTATTTTAGTTGATTATTATTTTAGGACTTTATAATTCGATTTAGGTGATTAATAAAAACATTGTATACAGGCTGTCCATTCTTCTGAACTTGCGTTCATGTTTTTATTAAAGTTCGTTTAGTAACTGGTCCAGCCTGTATACAAAGTTACGTCGAAGAGGAATACGCGAGTTTTTAGTTAAACAATCGGTTCGCTTATACAGGGCGATGGAAAGTTATTTTTAAGAGAAAAAAATAAAATTGAGTGAAAAGAGTAACAAAAATTTCTATACGCATCTTCCTGTATGTTTTGTTTGTCCTGTGGACGTCCAAATTCATTAACGACACTCTGACTGTGATCATGTGGCAATCGCGGGTTATATCGGTCTGTTTTTGAGTGATTTTCGATGGCTCGAACTAAAGAAATACATTCTTACAAATTAATCTAGTAATTTTAACATTTTTTAGCATATAAAGCTGTAGGTATATAAAAAAATACTGTCTACTTTTAATATATTTTTTTAATAATATAAAATTGAATACAAATCATTAACCAATTCATTTCAGAAGGTGTTGTGGTCAATTATGTTTTTTGTATGTTGACAGATAAACAATTCTTATGGTATATTACATTAGAATTTTTTAAACTGTCAAAGTGAAAACCTACTTTACCATAAAACTTTTTGAAATCACGGTATAATAAACTAAGTACTGAAAATAATACTCTTTTTTAGTTAACAAATTTAATAATATTTAAAGATGTATAAGTTTATTAAAAATTGAAATCAAATTAACTAAAACAATATCACAATATAACATACTTAATTATTTAAATTTAGTTCTTTTTAAACAAGTTTTATGGTAAAATGTTAAAAAATCTAATAAAATTTGCATAAATTTGATATTAGCATTATAATCAATACATTTTATATAGTTCTTTATTTGCACCTTGTGTTCAAAGTTTGAATACAAATCTTTTATTTATTTCTGTTTGAGAGAGATAAGTAAATAATCTTACATCGGTGCTGTCAAAAAATGTGATTGGATTTCGCAAATATTAAATAATAATTGCATATATTTTAATATTTTTTTATCAATATTATCTAATTGTTATTATTGCGTAAATTTATCAAATCACTTTATTGTTCGTGTAAAAACTTCGTATGATTTTAAAAATACTGAAAATTCACTAAAATATTAAGATTTAAAGACATTATTTGTAGTTATCAACTAATGCATCAATATAAAAATAGTATTATACTCAGTGATGGGAAAACACTCGGTATATTGAGATTTGGGCGAATACCCGAGGTGTTGCACCCCTTATACCATCCTGGACACTTCATCTGCGTGGTCTGTTTTTAATGCACGCGACAGAGATAAATATAAATGACCGGTTGACAGACAGAGGGACAAAATAAAAAGCGGCATACAGTGTTGCCGGTTTTTACTAGTCTAGGAAAATGTGTGTAGAAAAAAATAAACTATTTTAGAAACTTTCATGTGTACTACCTACTGAAATGAAGATAATATCTAAGCTAAATATAATCTATTACAGCTTACAGCTGTAGTAAAATGGATAATCAATTGTGAAAAATAAAGTTCCAACTCTAGATGCAAAATCCGGCAATACTGGAAAGAATAAATCTCAATACCTCACCAACTTTTATCTCTTTTCGCAATACCTCACCAACTTTTATCTCTTTTCAATACATTTCAGTTTTATCTACATCACTGTCTTACACGTGAAAATCCAGACCAAGCTGTTACGATGACCAGATTGGCATAACCATCAGTTTATAAATATAGGGTATATTGAATTTGGGTAAATACCCGGTATATACCCAAGTATAGGTACTTACTTTGTTAATTTAACAA